GCATTTGACTGTCGTTAATGACAGGACGCATCTCCCTGCAGTGACAGAGGGATGCAAATGGGAGAATAAAATACAAGGGGAAAGTGAGGGAGGAAGAGATGGGAAGAGGAACAGGGCAGAGAGAGAAGAGGAGGGGGGAAGCGCATGACAGGGCATTGGACTGTGGTAAATGAACGGACGCACCCCTTGGGGGGGGAGAGAGAGAGAGAGAGAGAGAGAGAGAGAGAGAGAGAGAGAGAGAGAGAGAGAGAGAGAGAGAGAGATGGGAAGGAGAGAATAGCAAGAGAACGGGAAAGTGAGGGAGAAAGAGATGGCGATAGGGACAGGGCAGAGAGAGATCCCAGCTGGATAGCACTCTGCGGGCCATTATCTTCTCTTCGTGGAGGCACTCCCGTCCTCACTCCAAGTTTCGCGCGAGATGATTATTAAAAAGGGAAAAAAACGATGATGACGTGATACTCCTGCATCCTTTTGAGCGCTTCTTCTTTATCATGTACCTTTCTTTTTTTTTCCTCCCCTTTGTGTGCTCCTATGCTGTCGTCTCTTCACGTCTGGAGCTCCTCCCGTCATTCTATTGCTATCATCTTTTTTTTTTTTTTTTTTTTGTAAATTTCAATCTCAATTCTGTTGGTGGGGATGTTGCCACACCCGTTGTTGCATGGCTCCTCTTTCATATTTTGTACGTGTCGCGTTGTTGACGCCAACACCAAGTGCTAATCAGCTCTGATTTCAATCAATTCAGGACGCCAACGTCAATCCCGCTCAGTGGATCCTTCTTCCCCTCATTAATGGATGGATTGATTTTAATCGGTGAAAAAAGGATGAACTAACAAAAAACAGAGCTGATTAGCATTTGGTATTGACGTCTTTTTTTTTTCTTTTTTTTTTTTTTTTGTTTGACGTCAACAACGCCGGCACGCACAAAATATGAAAGAGGAGCTTCTGTTTCTTCATACGGCCACAAAAGTTGATTTTGGGCCTCGCCACACTGCACACGGAACGAAAACGAAACGAGTGCATCTGCCCACGAAAGGTGGCAAAATACACTCGTCACTATTTATAGCAAACCCATGAACCTGGTCATTTTCTGCCCGAAGATGCACTCGTTTCGTTTTTCGTTTCGTGTGCCATGCAGCAACGCCCTTTAATTCTCTGTTTCCTGCTGGTCGTCTGGAGCTTTCAAAAATTGTTGACATGATATATATGGAAGATAATATTTTTTAATCTGTTGTATATATTTTTTTCTTCGTCTCCTTAATCTTCCCTATTGTTTTGCGGGCCTACTGAATGGTTCCGTTTTTTTACTATGGATATGGTAGAATGTTTGTTTTGTGAATGAGAATCTTGTCTGCCTCGACTCCGGTTGGCCTTGTCCCGTTATTTGGTCTATCTTAGGGAGGGATGGCGGTGCTTCATGTGGGATTGGTCATCTGGTTATCGTTCTGCAGGCAAGTGTGTTTTGACATCCTGGTTGGTCTTGTCCCGTCGTTTGGCCTATACTTGCCGGGGGCGGTGCTTGCATGTGGGACTTGTCATCTAGGATTGTCATTTAGGATTTGTTTTAATCTTGTCTGCTTCGATTTTGTTATTGGGCATCCCTTCGGTGAGAAATCAGCAACTTCGAAGATAAGCCCTTTGTGGTTGCAAAATTGACCCATTGCCCCCCCCCCCCCCCCCCCCCCCCAAAAAAAAAAAAAAAAGCCCCCCCCTTTTGCTGTCTGTCGCCTGGGTACCGCGGGCGGGTTACCCCCCACGCAGGTTCGCCCGGGGCGCCCGGCCGGGCGGCCTGGGCTGGGCGACTATGGTAGCCTAGCAAAGAACGTAAAATGAAATTGTTATTATTATTATTATTATATTATTTACCAGTCACATAACATATATTTTTTTAAGATGCCGAGAAAGGAAGTAAAGAAAAGAAAGGAGAGGAGGCTACCATCGTCGTTTTCTTTTATGCACAGTTTCTCTGTCCGTTTTTCTCCCTTCACTTTTGCCCATGCGCTGTTGTTGTGTGACAGACAACGTCCCCCTTACCCGCCGATGGGCGAGATTCAACTCACACCTCGACCGTTGATCGTTTGTTTTTTCTTTTTTTTTCTTTTTTTTTTTCTCCCCCTTCCTCCTCGGGACAGTCATCATCATCAGCACGACGTTTTCTTCGTCGTCCATCCATCCCCTTTTATTGTGCATGCCTTTTCTGGTCCATATCTATTTTTGGGATTCGAATCGCCGTCATCGTCATCGTCTTTTCTGGGGGGTTACGTTTTTGAACCCGGGAAGTTGAGAGCCTTGTCGTCTTTTATGAGGGGTTAAATTCCGAGTTTGAGTGGGGTGGAACTGAGGGGTAAGACCCCAAAGAAAGAAGGAAGAAAAAAAAATCGAATTTGATACTTTGTCAGCATCATCGTCTTTTCTGGGGGTCAAATTCGAATTCAGAATGTGGTCAGGGCAACGTCCTTGTTCATCAGAACTTCGAATTCAGAATGTGGTCAGGGCAACGTCCTTGTTCATCAGAACTTGTTGTCGCGGTCATCGTATTCAGGGGCTACCGTCTTCACCCGAATAGAACGCCCAGTCATTATAGCCGTATCTGGTCAACTTTCCATCTAGGTACAGCGATAATGACCGGGCCGGGTGAAGACTGTAGTAGGTAGGTAAGGTAGGTAGGTAGGGTTCATTTGCCTTTGGGGGGGGGGKGGAGGGGGGCAATTGCCACTTCTGCGGCAGAGTGGAAAGGGTACCATACTTGTTGTTGTTGTTGTTTAGCAGTAGGCATCCTGAAAAAAAGGGCTCTACCCTCTTCCTCCCCAACATAACACACCCCGATCACGCCGTCTACAAGCTTTCCCTTCAACGAGAAGACGCGGAGGCGTCCTGCATGTGGTTATTTTTGACGACGGGGTCGGGGTCCCGTTAAAAACCCATATTTTTTGCTCAGGTTAAGCTGTTTTTTTTTTCCTGTTATTTTGTATTTACGCTGTTCGACGCAGGTTTCTTTCTTTTGTATTATTTGGTTTGCTAGTGAGGTTACCGGCTCATCTGTCTGACACAGGACTCAGTATTCACCCTTGGTATCCTGCGTAGTGTGTGCTTCTGCGGAGTCAAGGACGACCAGGCTGTGAGCACCAGCTTTTGGCCGTCATAACGTTGGTGACCCCCCCCCCAGTCATCGGTCTGGTGACCCCCCCCAGTCATCGGTCTTGCGGGAGTTGGGCTGTCTGTGCCTTACGGGATGTGGGCTGCCACTCCTGCTGTTGGTGACCCCCCCAGTTATTGTTCTTGCGGGAGTTGGGGCTGTCTGTGCGTTACGGGAGGTGGGGCTGCGACTCCTGAAGGGTGCAGCGATTGTTGTTAATTTATGGGAGCTGGGCTTACTCGCTGACCGTCGGATGTGCGTAATCTGCAGGTGAGGGCGAAGGCTGACCGTTGGATGTGCTTGGTCTGCAGGTCGGGGTGTAGAGATATTGCAGTTGCATGCTCGCTGACGGCCGTCGGAGGTGCTTGATCTGCAGGTCAGGGTGAAAAGTGGCTCGGAGAAGTTACCTCTGGAATCTGGACCCTTAACACCCCCCCCCTGTACACCTACCTACCGACAGTTGTGCTGTCCTGTCATCTGCCATGAATCATGTTGGGGGCAACAACTACACCACAGCGCGAACTCCGGCCGGCTCATCAAGCAGCAATGACAGACAACAACGTTTGGCACACCATCATTCTCCGTCAAGCACCGGTCACCCTAACCAGCATGATACATCCCCCCTGGACATGGAGTTGCTGGAGGGTGGCCACCCGCAACAGCCCCATTGGCAGCACCTTGTTGTACTTCCAGAGAGAATGGAAAAAGGAGGAGGAGGAGGAGGAGGAGGAGGAGGAGGAGGAGTGGACGTGTTCCCTTGTTGTCTCTGGGGATTGCCCAAAGTATGGGTCCTTGCCATTGGTCTTGTTGTCTTGATGGTTCAGGTCGGGGTCTGTGTGTTTGCCTTTAGCGGGGCATGGACGTCACCTGACCTGAGAAATGGGGGGGAGCCATATACTGTTGATGAGACTCCTCTTGGAGGGAGGGGGTTGTTAGTAGAGGCAGGGAGCGCTGGTGCAGCTGGCGGCGTAGAGTCATGTCTGGCCGCCTTGCAGCAAAATGCGGGCAATCTGTCGTCTGGGGTGGGAGGAGGAGGGGAATTGGGACTGACGTCAAATGATGTGGGTGTGCTGAGGTGTCATCATTATCCAAGTTTCCATTTCCGTCCTCGAGGGAAGTGGCAGAACGACCCGAATGGGCCAATGGTTTATGGGGGTCTGTATCACCTCTTTTTCCAGTACAATCCTTATGCGGCGGTTTGGGGTAACATCCAATGGGGTCATGCCGTCTCTTCCAATTTGCTCGACTGGTTGGAGCTTCCGATAGCTCTTGCCCCTGATCAATTGTACAACGAGAAGGGTGTGTACTCAGGCTCGGCGACGATTCTGGACGACGGCCGGCCAGTACTTCTGTACACAGGGGTGACCGGCACGGGCCTACAGGTGCAAAACATGGCCGAACCTGCAAATATCTCCGACCCCCAACTCCAGAAGTGGGTGAAAAGCAGTTTAAATCCTCTCATGTCCGCACCTCCTGGAGTGGACCCCAAAAACTTCAGAGACCCAACAACAGCCTGGAAATCCGGAAACGACAGCAAATGGCGCATATTGATAGGTGCAGTGGACCCTTCGTATTCGGACGGCAGTGCGGAGATGTTTGTGAGCGCAGACTTTCTCCGCTGGGAATTTTCTAACCGGCTGCATGGCAAAGCCGGAACCGGCATGTGGGAGTGTCCAGACCTACTTGCTCTCCCGGCGAACGGCGGCGGCGGAAGCGGTCAGCCTCAACCACCGGATGGTAACACACCCCCTCCACGTAAACATGTTCTCAAGATCTCCTTGGATAGGTATCGTGCCGACTGTTATGTCGTAGGCACGTACAATGAGTCGGATCACAGCTGGGTTCCTGACGATCCATCTCTTGACGTTGGTCCGGCAGCGCTGAGGTACGATTATGGACAGTTCTACGCTTCAAAGACCTTTTTCGACAGCGCGCACAACCGCACACTGCTCTGGGGCTGGGTACCCGAACTGTCGACGGAGTCCGTGAATCAAGTAAAAGGATGGGCCTCCCTTCAGGCTCTGCCAAGAGTGCTCGACTTGGATCACCAATTTAATGACACAAGACTGATTCAAATGCCCGTTCCGGAGATCGAGACCCGGCGAGGAGCGAATCATTCTCTGGTCAACGTGACCTTGCTACCTGGTTCTTTGTTGCCTGTAGAAGGACTAACAGGGTCGGAATTGGACATGGAGATCGCGTTCGAGAAACCAAGTATTGGCAGCCTTGGCCTGAACATGAGTTCAGGCGCGAACCCGATGATGGGCAACGCCACCGAAAGTCCTGTGTTGTGTTGTGAGGGTGCCCACATGGGAATGGGAAAGGTTGTCGTGGGACTGTTCGGGTTGCTGGTCCTGACAGACAGCGCATTAGTGGAGCAGACATCCATCTACTTTGAGCTGTCGTACTATGGAGGAATGTGGGGAAAGCAGGGGGAATTGCCAGTATGCCTCTGTCATGACCTCAGCAAATCCTCGCTCTACTCCGCCGCCGGGGTTCGCAAACCTGTGTACAACACGACCGTACCTCTGCTGTCCACCGAGAATACCCTGACGCTCCGCGTGTTGGTGGACCGGTCCATAGTTGAAGCCTTTGCTCAAGGTGGGAGGTCCGTTATTACATCCAGAGTCTACCCTAAGTTGGCGCTGGGGAACAACTCGCACGTGTTTCTGTTCAACAATGGAAGTACACCAGTTGTTCTGAACAGCTTCACAGCATGGCAGATGCTCCCTGCCACTCTTTCATAAGGCAATCATTATTGCCAAAGCAGCTCATTTATTGCTCCAGGCCTCAATGCCCAGTCTATAGATAGCTGCATACACATGTGCAAGAGAGAGAGAGAGAGAGAGAGAGAGAGAGAGAGAGAGAGAGAGAGAGAGAGAGAGAGAGAGAGAGAGGGATTGTGGGCGCTTGTCCTCTGGTTCCTTCAATGTGTAGGCATAATAGGAAGAGGGAAAAGGGAGGAAGAGAGGAGTAATTAAATAAACTGAGAGAGAGAGAGTTAGAGAGAGAGAGAGAGAGAGAGAGAGAGAGAGAGAGAGAGAGAGAGAGAGAGNAGAGAGAGAGAGAGAGAGAGAGAGAGAGAGAGAGAGAGAGAGAGAGAGAGAGAGAGAGAGAGAGAGAGAGAGAGAGATTGTGGGCGTGTGTCGTCTGCTTCCTTCAAAATGTGTAGGTAAACAGGAAGAGGGAAAAGGGAGGAAGAGAGGAGTAATTAAATAAAATTCCCTCCTTCAACGTTCTTGGTGAGTCCTTTTTTCACCATTTTTTGTTTTTTACTGGAATTCCAAATTTAATTCAGCCGATATTAAACGAACTTTCCTTGTTCGACGTTCATGGCGAGTCCCTTTTTTACCACTTTTTGTTCCTTGTTGGAAATCCGAACTTAATTCTGCGGCTTTCCATTTAATCAAATTAAATGAAATAAACGGTTATGTAAACCAACTTTTCACAGATTCAACTTCACAACACAACGTTATTTGAGGGTAGGTTCAATACAACACATTATAGAGAAGAGAAAGGATTATTGATCAGCAATAGAATTGTCATCAAAACACTCGGTAAACCCAACCATCCCACATTACGCACTAATGGTGGATAATCATACGTCTTTGCTATGGATAACGCACGCCCTCCCATCCATCTCGTACTCCACTCCCTGTTCATGGAGGCTATATTATGAGAGGAACAGACTATGAGTGTGTATTCCTGGCTCTTCGGTATCCCGCTCGTTTGCTCAATCAGCGAGTCCAAGAAGCATGTACGGATTCGGCAGCAGCACATGTAGAACCATCAACTGGGTGACTTAAGCAGCAGCAGCAGAGGTGCAAATAAAGTCTTGGGGAACTCACATCCGCTGCGGAGTGGAGGTGTTACCTTAAGTAAAGCTTGCATCAGTGAAGCCTGAAACATGACGAAGCCCGCCCTACTGCTTGAGTGGTTGGGGGGGGAGGGGAGACGAAGGAGGGGAGGATGGAGTCTGACTGACGATGATGAATAAAGGGCATGTGCTGTGATCTTTTGAAAACTTCGCAGCATCCTTGAAATTTTCCCATATATTTTGAGGGCGTATTTGTAACGATGATCGCAAACCAGAAATCCCGGCAAGGACGTGTCAAAGCTTCAGAGACAAGAAAACACGGAAGGGTCTGCGTCTGTTTGTGACCCGGTGGGTTTCATTCATGCCCTAGCTGTGGGCCTAGGACTCAAGCTGGTTGGGTGCTCCTATTTCAGGCAGCCTGTGGGTGCGGGGAAAAGGCGCTGTGCATTGCTGCTTCTTTCTTTCCCATGGACTTTCCATTTTTGCCCGAGTCCACAGAATGCTGTGGGACACTGACAGTTGCATTTTTCTATATTTGGAAGAACTGAGGGCTTGGCTCACGGAGGCGGTGGTGCTTTTACCCTACTGTCTTCCCTGGTTAGGTAGAGCGCTGGTCTGTCACGCCAGAAGTCGAGGGTTCAAATGCTGAGGTCAACGCACTCTCTCATCATGACTGCAGAGGAATGGAAAGACAGGATATGCCTTGGTGTTTCTACAAGAGCACCAATGTATGTGTTTGTTTTGGGGGAAGATGGCAGGAGAAAGCCCTCTGAGTGCTTTGCGACTGACGCTTTTCGACAGTTGAAGAGTCCCAGGGGCTGGATGGTGGAGGCAGCGCTACCGACATTTTCCCAATTTTGGAAAGGCTTGCAGCGGCAAACCAGTATTTCTGACGTATCCTGTACTGGCTATCGTGGGGACCCCGACTGCAATCTGCGCTCGAGGACGGGGAGGTCGTCTTTCTTTTTATAAGAAAGAAAGATTTGGACCATTTCTCGATTTATGTGTGCGTGTCATCCTTGCGCAGAGAGGTCTTTTAGAGGAGGCAACAAGAAGAAAACTTAGGGTTCCTACGCTCTTTTGCTTGTGCTCTGTGGTCTGATGGGGCATTTGGAGGGGGAGGTAGAGTAGATTAGGAAGAAGCTATTGGCTATGTCGAAGATTCTTCAAAGGTGGACTTTGAGGTCAGTTTCTGTGACTGCAAGGCAGTTGGCATTCATGGTCCTTAAACCACCAGTACACGGCCGCAGCCTTGTGGAGAAATCTTTCATCGCCTACGAAAAGTTCGGAGGACCGCACCACAACGGCTCACAGCGCGCCAGCCAAGAAAGGAAAAAAAGTGCACGGAAAAGCTTGGCGTGCAGTGGAAGGCCGCCAGGCCCAGGTGTACAGGTGGTTTGAGAGGCACGGTTTACTTCTATTGTAGTCCATCATGACAGACCTGATGCTGGGAAAGACGGGCTTCCCGAGCTGCATCATGTTGGGACAGAGCATTTGAACGGACACTCCCCTTACTCTGTTTTCCCTTCGCATCCCGACCCCTACAGTTATAGTTATGGAGAGATACCCCACAGTCTCCTCCCGAGTCTACCATGCTGTCGTCCAACGTGATCAGTACAGCAACTGTGCGAGTCTGTGGATATTCCGGGGACCACAGCCCGTCGTGTCGTGAAAGGAGACCACTGGATTTAGCCAGTCCAAGGGAAGATCTCCGATCGTGACTCCAAGATACATACAGTTGAATGGGGAGTTTGTGAACGTGAGGTGTAGTTGGGATACCAGACCAGACCAAGATGTGGCAAGGCAGGTGGGAAGCAACACAACGTCTTCTCTGTGAACTACTCACAGGAAGAGTGGAACTACTGTGGGACCAAAATGGCAGGGAAGGAGGACTGAGTAGCTAGCTCCTCGGTTGTGTCGTAGCGCCCACTGATGACATCATTCTCCAGAAGCGATGCCCGCTTATGAATAGGCAGAATTCTTAAATAGTTTGTTCTGTTTGTGATGGAATATCAGACAAGGAAGAGGACACCTGTTTTACGTCCTTCGAAAGGAATATGATGACTTAAATAAAGGGTGCTTTTGCTTCTTCAGAACCGGTGCAGAATACTCCAAGGAGGCAGTAAAGGATTTTCATTTTCTTCAGGTGTGGAATAGAGGGGAGGAGGAACGGGGGGGGGGGGGGGCACGCAGTGAAGGATTTTTTGACATTTTTTCTGTCTTCAGGACTGGTGTAGATGCTGCAGGGAGACAGCAAGGGTCAGGCCAACGAACAGGATGAGACAGTGAGGGTCAGACCAACAACAAACAGCAAAGAGAATGTTCCGTTCTCCCCCAAGGGTGACGTGGGAGGATATTCCCCCTCACTTGGTATTACACAGGGTCGAAAGAGCCATTAGTTTTATGGGGTTTGATGAAATCATTCGAGAGGAAAAGAAGCAAGGAGGAGTTCAGTGGTAGGACAGGGCTTCCCAGCCGTAATGGGTAAGAGCGTGCATGGTGTCTATTTCTCTGATTTTGATCCTTCCCCTGCGGACAACAATTGAGGCTGTTGGAAGTTAGGGGAAAAAAAAGGAAAAAGAAGCAAGCCCTTGTTTATTTCGTTTCAGACTGGCCAGCGGAAACGAAACCGGACTGGTGCACCCCAGATTACGACGATGTTCTACTGTACCTTCAAAAAAAAGATCGAAAATCTGCAGGATTCTTCCATGATAGCTAGCTAGGCAGTTAATCCTTCTCCACAGGAGAAGCAATCAATGCTGCCTGGCAAGAGCCCACATCTGATAATTGTATTGGACTGGACTGCTGCTGCCCAGAATAGGTTGGAGTCTTGAACGATGGTTATAATGCTGTCAAAGCGAAACTTGTGAAATCAAAAAATCAAAATAAATAGAGAGAAAAGGTCTGAGTACTCCATGGTGAACACTTGTTTGTGTGGCTTTTACGCCATTGATGTCTGTGGTGCTTGTTGTTGATTGGAGAGACTCTTTTTTTTTAGGTCCAGATTTGGACAATTTCTCGATTTATGCGTGTCACGGGCCATGCTGATCTTCTTTGTATTGTTGCAATTTTAACGGATGTAACGAAGGGTGGAGACCATACTTGCGGTGCACCAGTGCGCAGCGCGGGGCAGTGCGGTGCGCAGTGCACTGTGCGCTGGAATTCCAGCGCGCGCACTGTGCGCAGTGGAAGGTGCTCCAGGTGCGCAAAAAAAAAAAAATTTAAAAGTTGAAATAAAATAAAACATTTATTCGTGCCACAGAGAGAGAGAGAGAGAGAGAGAGAGAGAGAGAGAGAGAGAGAGAGAGAGAGAGAGAGAGTCCGCCATAGCTGACCAAGGTAACTCACTTTCTCTCCCTTCCTCTCTCTGTCTCTGGCCTTCGACTGCTCAAACTTACCCGCTCCTCTCAGACCTTGTATCGCACAGCCTCACTACTCTCTCTCTCTCTCTCTCTCTCTCTCTCTCTCTCTCTCTCTCTCTCTCTCTCTCTCTCTCTCTCTCTCTCTCTTAATATATATATGTATA